TGGCGCAACACACCTGCCTGCCACCCAGTCCGGTGCCGGCCTTGACGGCAGAAAAGGAGGACAGTAGCGGCTACCACCAGTGCTGCTGTCGTGAGGGTGGTAACCCCCAGCCAAAGACAGCTCACTTCTCCACGTTCGCTCCAGCATCCAAAAACCTCAGTATGAAGGTGAGGTGTTGTCTTTGCAGATCATGCCTGCCTTTCACCTTCCACCGTTTCACCTTTAGAACGGGTAACTGATTCGCAGAATAGTGATGTGTTAGTGAAAAGCGTTCACCATTTTGCATAGTCTTTTAAGCATTAAGCTAATTGTGGTATATGTACTTCCTACATTCTTTGCGGTTTTAATTTGACACACAAACTACACTCGCGTTCTCCGAGCTACCAACGACCCATGCTCTGTCTTTCACATAGTATCTTTAACAAGTTTAATAGTTAAACAGTAGTATGCCGCATACTTACTTTTTGCCGGTTTGGCCTCTTAAAAGAGTCAAGAGAGACGTTACTCGCATTGTTAGTGGTGTCGCAGGCAATGTCAGATGTTGGCTAAACCTATTGTATGAAATCTTCCTCTGATGTCCAACTCTTGCTTCCCGTGAACTGCATACCTTTCCATATTGAGATTGATTCACTTGACCCAGTTGTGAAAAACTCGATGGTCTCGGTAGGATTGGAACCCACGACAGCAAGAGAAAGGCTCCAGCGCAGCCAGCGTTGCAAACACCCGAGCTCGGTAAAATGTCAATACTAACTGTTTTCCATCCTGTTGACCTCTTACTCCGATAAAACAATGGCCTTAAAGGATTTATCTGAAATCTGTCTTACTTATCTTACTGTTATTTTAGCATAGAAGCATACATACAAGCGGTTTTAATCCCTGATATTAAACATCGGGGGATATTACTTGGATATCTGGAAATGTCCGATTGCGCCCAAATCCGGCCTACTTTCCTCCAATAAAACAGAAATAAAATGCACTCTTATTCAGTGGAAGGCTTTCTGAGCCTTAAATCAAATCAACAAACTAACAGGCAACAGTAGGTTAAGTAGTGCACCTCATATACCCCTAGTCCCAGCATTTTGCCCTACGGAAATGATAGTTTTAGGGGTTTTTTGGGTTGGAAATTAGGATAGGCTGTGGAATGTACTTTAATAACTGCTATATGCATTTTCATTTTATTGTATTTAGAAATGTTGTTGATTTATAGCTGTAGATTTTCCTAATCTGCATTATCGTTTAACGTACTGCGGAAAACCCGATTATCAAAATGCAGGCTTATTGACATTCCTGAAAAGAATAGAAATAGTAACTAGGAAGTTGTCTACGTCAACTTATCTGATGTCTAACTTACCGTTCTGGAGTTAGATTAGTATAGTCCGCAGCGCGAAGCGCCGCCCACACCTTTAAATTACATGCGGAACGACTTCCTGTCGACAGCCGCGGGAAACTAATTCAACCAAATTTTCCCACTTTACGCTTGCTTCTACAAATTTCCGTCGCTATCTTATTTCCTTACCTCCAAAACTCCTATAACTACCGTTTCCGTAGGACAAGTGCCGGGCCTAGGCGTATATGAGGTGCACTACTTAAACTACCTTTGCCGACAAAAAAAACCACATGCACGTCAAGCTACCCAATCAACTTTATATCACGACATTTGTGAGTTTGGTCATCTACCGTAGGTGGTCAAAACTTGCCGTCTGGAGGGTGTTTCCACCGCAGCCTATTGAGGACGGTCGGCGCCACAGTTTTGAAATACTCCCGCCCAAGGCTCACAGTCGGTATTCACCCCCCCCTTTTCCTCTCTCTCTGTCCTAAGGAGCTGGCCTCTACTCTTACCGAGTCGGGTTCTGGATCTGCTGCCTCGCTCTCCAGCCTGCCTCCACCCTGTCCCTCACCCAGTGGGTCCCTCTCGGTGGAGACGCGGGACCGTGCCATTCAGGTGTCGACCTCTTTTAATCTCGCAGCTTGTGGGTCCGCCTGCACTGACTGTCTTCTCTGTGGTCGTTCTCTAACAGATCGTGGAACTTCTGTGGAGTGAGTTTTTTTTTCCTTTGTTGTGTGTTTCCCTTTTTATTCGCAAACACCTGGCAGACGCTTTTAGACCCTCCTTGGAGGACAGATTTTAACGGCGGTTTTGCTTTTTTCCCCTTATCGTTTTTGCGTGGGTAGCCGGTCTAGGCTACTTCGCGGAAATCAACATGTCATATATGTACTTGCCTGCTTTCTCTTGGTTCACGTCCGTGACACCACAGTTCTGTACGACTAGCTTGTCTTAAAAATATCTTTGTCCTAGATCAGTGTGTCTGGTAAATGTTATATGAGACTGCCGCTAGCTGAGATGAACAGGTTTTAGATTGCCTTCGCCCTTGCCTGCAGCGAGCAGCCAGTAATGGCCAACCTCGGTTAGCTCTAGCTTGACTTTTCAAGGTCAAGCATAACGCCAGCATTTCTTCTTGGTGCTTGATTGAATAGCGGAATGCTGCGCTTGCGTTGATTTGAGTATTAACGCACGCGATGGATAGAGCGTAGGCTCACACTTGAACTACCGAGCCACCTGAGCCCGGACTTCAGATATAAGTTATATAATGTGTGTGTGTGATAAACATCTTGATAGGAGATTGCAGTTCTAGTTGTAATTCTAGACATCAGGCGGAGCATTTAGGTTCAATCCTTTACCAATCGCCTCTGCAACTAGAATATGCGCGTGAATCTTTGTCAGCATGTCCGACCTACTCTACGTATTCATTCTTCATTCCCGCCCCCGAAAACACGGAGTGCACTCTCGAATATTGCGGTTGATTGGCTTCCTCACAATCAACGTGACGGTCTATTGTACATCTCAATATTTTCTGTCTCCCTATAGCCTAGTTTCGCCATCTGCAACTGTAGGGGAGCCTCTGACGACTAAGCCGGCATCCATGCCAAGTACTCCCACGTTGCAACGCGCCCGTCCACCTTCAGTTCCTGACAAGGATGCCTACTCTGCTGTTCTTGCCGCCATTTGCCGTCGGGTTGACCAATTCCCATCGGTGGTCTCGCCTGCTGACTTTCAGCTGCCTTGTAAGTCTTGATTGCTTTCTGCCTGAATTAAATGTGTAGCTTCAGACGCCCTGGCTACCGTTTGTTTATCAGTTTTCGCACAGTCATAAGAGAGCGAGAGGAGTGGCCTGGGCCTGTACTTATCCAACGGAAAACTTGTTTCTGGAAATTTACTTCATTTTAGTGGACTTTCTTCCAGCTCAAAATGTCCTTGTGCTTAGGACAGTGCATGCTTTGTCCGTGATTCCTTGTCTCCACACAGCTACCCAAGTAGGGCTGCAACTTCCATCAGCAAGCAGTCACAGATTTCGTCACCCTTCTACTGGTCGTCAGTATTTTTCAGTTAAGATCGTGTCTGCTCGACTCGACTTGTCTTTTCCACTGAGGAAAATGTCATACATGTAACATAACATACTACAGCCCAAGCAAGCTCGTTTATGGTTCGCAATCAACCAGGGCATTTTTGGACCCTCTCATTGATGTTTCACCGTATTTCCAGAGGGCTTTTCAAAGTGAGCCGTCATTTTTCCTCTATCCATTCTTATATACCGTCGGTTGGCCTACCTCGTCCATCATAAAGCGATTTTTATCCCTCTTTGTTTATTTGAACTACAATGAGGTCATCAGTGCACGAGGATAGCGCTGCTTTGAAAGCAGTCTCCAATTTGACCTATATTTGACGACCCTGCCAGTACAATCCCTGGATTGGACGGGGTTGGCGATGGGAGAATGGTGTAGACGTATGTATTATTCGGGAACCCTAAGTTTCACAAATGCCACAGAACGGCCATTTTTTCCTCCTTCCATTCGCATGTAAAAATTTTTAAATATACACGTTAGTCGGCCTAGTTCGCCCATTATAAACCAATTTTTATCCCCCTTTGTTTATTTAAACTACAATGAGGTCATCAATGCACGACGCTAGCGCTGCTTTGAAAGCAGTCTCCAATTTGGCCTATATTTGATGACGATATTTGATGTCGACAAATGCAGACATTGACGATTATGGATTGCTTTTGATTTCCCGGTGTTGTGAGTTTGCGCGCCTAATTTTATTCCTTGTGAATGGAGGATGTTTTTGTTGAAAATTTTGAATGGTATTTTCAAAATAAAGGGTATCTCTCTCGCTATCTCCTATCGATTTCATCCACACTTATAGGAAAATCAACGACCATACAATTCGTGCAGTTAGAATGGCCTTGTAAGGATGTTTAAATTGAAGCTCCCCACAAAGGTACACCAACCAAAGTTTTAACTTAGTGAACCGAGCTTGAGCTTTCGCGACACAAAACCTATGCAGACGCGAGCATGCTGCTAATTACATCTGCTGCGCATCAGAGAAGTACTGTAGCCATAAATCTAACACCGTTAGACCAACGCTTGAGGGCTACTTCAAAGTCTTGAAATGCATTTTTCTTCTATATGCGTCGGTTGGCCTACTTCGCCCATTATAAAACTATTTTTATTCCTCGTATATTTAAACTACAATGAGGTCATCAATGCACGAGGATAGCGCTGCTTTGAGAGCAGTCTCCAATTTGGCCTATATTTGACGACCCTGCCAGTACAATCCCTGGATTGGACGGGGTTGGCGATGGGAGAATGGTGTAGACGTATGTATTATTCGGGAACCCTAAGTTTCACAAATGCCACAGAACGGCAGATAAGCAGTATCAGGCATAAATGCATGTATTTAGCTTGCAATACTCGACTATTCCAAGAAAAATTATCTATGATGTCGAAAGTTGCAGTCCTTGGCGATTATGGATTACTTTTGATTCCCCGGTGTTGTGAGTTTGTGCGCCTAATTGTATACATTTTAAATGGAGGATGTTTTTTTCTGAAAATTTCGCAATATTTTCAAAGTAATGCGTCTCTCTGTTATTCGAATTTTCTTTCATAATACGATTAGGTGTCTGAGCACACGTTTTTTTTGCCAAACAGAAGACACAGGATGTGAACCGATTACAGAGCGGGTATTTGTTATATCATACTGTGAGCTGGTCGCTTTTTTACCGCTGTACGGCCGTTACCGAAACTCTACTGATAATAAACCACTGTTTCTTGTCGCTTGAACCGCACGGTATAGCAGCAGTTTTGAGTCCGCCTAAAATTAGGCATTTTAGGTGCTTTTATTAAGCTGCCTTCCATCTATTGAGCCTCTCTGACCACCGACGACGACGGCCTCAGCGGGCGTAAATGTAACGTTGAGAGAACAGTGCGTCGACAATCTAGACTCTAGTAGTCCCATTTAGCCATTTCAAATGCGCCGTATTTAATGGCCCCCTATTTGTAGGGTTAGGACGCACATTCGGCGTGCGCTAGGCGCTCCAAGTGGTCAATTAGGACCTTCATTTTTTTGTCAAAATGTGTTGCATTGCACTACCTTTGGCCTTATTGCGTTTTTATACGGTCTAATTTGTCGTGCGCGCTAAATGTATGAAGGACTCTCCTGGTTCTATTGTGGTACGGACAT